ATTATTATCATCGCGTATGGGCATTGTGCTACCGTTATTATTGTGTCGTTGGGAAAGGTTGTTTGTGCAGATCTCGGACGACGATCGACGATACGCGTACATGCAGATAATAATAAGACCTATAGTCTTGCCCGACATTGCCCCATGGAAACGGCGGTTTTCGGTTTTGTGTGTCAATGTTATACACGTACCGCGAAAGAGCGCACGTCAATTTCACGGCAAATCGTTTTAGACGACGACGACGACGACGATAATCACTGAGATTTAACGTCACACGCGACGGATAAAACGCGCTGCACACGAATAATAATATGTCAGAGATATCTAAAGGTTACAAACAGTACCTATACCGCATTACCGCGACCGCAGACGAGCTCCACGAGTAATATTTCGGTAATATCATTATAATGTTATGTCACGCGTTGTATTACCAGCTACTATCTATGTATATTATTATAAAATTCAAATCCGTTTCCGAAAGAATTCGTAAGCACACACACACACACACATATATAATATTACGAACCTATATGTAAATATCATATAGGTACCTACTTTTGTTTCGGCGAAAGTGACATTAAAACACACTACAGTACACCGCGCATTATAATTAGGTACATTTTATACGTCTTCAGAGTACCTATATCCGGACGAAGGATTAAAAAATATGCATTTATGATATTATATAATATAAATATTTTATGCGCTGTATCCGAAGAGTAGTATACTTTGTTGGGCTAATGGACTTTTGATCAATTATTATTATACCTATACATACGATTGTGGAATTATCCGCAGATGTATATTATTTTTACCTCTCCGCGTTTTTTAACGACAGAGCACGAGGACGTATAATATTAATAATAAAAATCACGAATATGGTTTGCGCGTCTGCGCGAGCGCGTATAAAATACTCGTTATTGATGTACGAATAATCACATTCGGTATTTTCTACTTTCGTTTTTGGCGACAGACAAATCGTTAACGACACGTTTTCGATTCGATTTACTGCGCTACCGCTGCAATGTATAATAATAATGATAATAACATTATATATTATTATTATGTATAGGAAGCGTAAGACGGGAAACGCGTAATGTTACGTGACCAGTTTTCTATAAGTCTGCAGCGCTGGATATCTAGGTTTTTGACGATTTTCACGTTGAGATTCACTGCAGCAGACGACGCGTTTTATACTTTTAACTCATATAATATATATTTATTTAACGAGACGGGAATTTAGCGTTGTTGTTTATATGATACTTTATGGAGGTGTTGTCCAAACGCCTCGGGGCGTGAATAAAAAAAAAATATCAAAACTATATTAATATATTACATAATACTATGTAGAATAATTACAAAAATGGTCGGGATAACCACGGGTTTGGGCCTCCCACGCACGCGTATTCAAATCGGATAGAATTTTTCAATATCCCGTTTGGGGTCATCATCGTCGTGCCACGAACGATTGTGATACAATTGTTATGTGTGTTAACTTGTGCGTGTATAATATTATTATCGCAGTTTCGAACGTATATAATATTGTCATCGTCTTCGTCGCGGTGGCAAACTGACAACGATCGTATCGTAAGATTATCTCATGTATTGGTCAAATGCGTAATGATAATATGAGCAACCCGAGACCGATGATTTCTATCGCTTTACACCTCGTCTAGACGATCCCAAAATCTGTGGGCTCACATTTCCATTAGCCGTCCGACGCGTACACAACAACGACGAGCTGCATCATAATATATGTTTAAGTATTATATTTTAACGACGTCTCAATGATCTGCAATGCAGACTCTGCCTCGTGCTGCGTATAAGTCACCGACACAACAAAACGATTTGTTTACATATTATACGTATAATATAATATTATGTTATATCGTATATACGGTTTTTACACCAAACACCACTGCGCCGCGGCGTGTCCGTTATTCGATTTCATGCACACGAATAACACAACGACCGCGTGAAATCGTATAATAAGTTTAATAGCGAAATAAGTTGCCATATATTGTAATAATATATTATGATGTGGATTCCCAGGGGGCAGACGCGATACTGGCGATGCGCTTCGGCGGACGCGCACGGTCGTCCGCGATTCTCGAACAACAGACTCGTGTACCTCGCACATACGTATATACCGCAATATACCTAGAATGTTCACGCGGTTAAGACCGTGATCGAAAACCGATAGTCGTATGCGGATTATAAAAGACTGCAGGGCCGAGCGAGGAATACAATAATATGCAAAAACATATTACATATATAGTTGCCCGCGTGGTATATGCGCACTGCACCTTTACACGATATATAACAGGCTATCGAACATTATATAATAATAATATTATATCCTCCCACGATTAATTTCAAATCGCTAAGTCGGTCAGATTTTCGAAATTCTCTCAATCACGCCCTGTACAACTTATCAACTTCATAAGTGAGTTTGGATGAGCTATTAGAAACATACCTACCTATATATTTTTAGTGGGGTCAAAATCATTAAGGGCTTAAAATGTGTTTCAAACATGATAATACGATTTTGGCAACCCATCGTATAATATATTAATATATTATGAGTACCATTTGATATGTGTAAAATAGTATCACTGTTTCGCCTTATTTGAAATATAATAAGGGTGCGTTTTAATTCGAAATAAATATAATTTTATCGAGCTTATTCCTAACTTATATAAGGTTTAATTTATTTTTATTAGTTTTAAATTAATCGCTATCGAATGACCGAGGTAAACGTTCTATAAATCCACAATAATATAAACGAAGTATACATACCTAGGAACCTATATATTATAATATATATATATCGACACGCCGATATACGTGTACGATAATTATAATATTTCTATATATTGGCAATACGAATCCAATAGTTCTGTAGATACGCGTTTTGTTCGTATTTCTCTCGCCTTATCGGCGCGCAGTTTTCGTCGTCGTCCATTTATCACAGCAGACATTTTACGCGTGGGAGCAGCCTTTTATTAAAAATTGTAGGTACACGTCCGTCCCAGTGACACTTATATATACGTACATACATATCTGTGTATATTATTATATATTATATTATTGTCGTAGACATGGTATTGTAATATGTATATATACAATTAATGTATTATACCTCCGCGTCGGTCGTTGCAGATCGGTATACACCCCGGTCGATGGTTGTTAACAAGATCGCGGTAACGCCTCTGACACACGCGGTCTACATGCATAATAATAATATGTGTACGTATCGGGTCCGCGGCGCCATAAATATTACCGTATAATAGTATAAAGCGAGAAAAAAAAAATGATATTAAAACGCGAAATAAAAAACGGACACGAGCGAAAATCGTTACGCATAAATTTATACGTCGGATCCCGTCGATTTTTACACAACTCACGGGCCCCGCAATGCCTACGCGCTCTACTTGCCACTCGTACGACGACGACTACTAATAATAATACGCACACAACATATTATACATTTATATATAATATATTATTATGATTATATTATGCGGATTGCAATAATAGTGCACGGGTCATATTATTATGTTATCATTCGTTATATTATTGTGTATTTGTGTGTATCGCGTATAATTTAAGGTGCAGGCTGTAGATAAATATATAGAAGTAGGTAGGTACACTGCAGGACTTACCACGCGGGGTATGCACTATATGCCGTTATTATGTAGTACTTACTGAAATGACGACAACGCGATTGTTACATACTGCAATTTGTAACAGTATACCTATACCTATAAAATTATACTTTTCCGAAATCCAATAGAAATTACAGTTCTATCGTCAAATAACCATTGTATATATAAGATCATTAAGAATTAAGACGACACTGACAGTAATAATCATGGAGATCGGCAGTACTGGCAATTTTGAAAACAATACGCCTTAAGTCAATTCACCACTATAATAACATTTTTATAAATAATTATTTAGTATAGGTATATTACACAGACAATATTATTTCCATTGTATGATACGGAAATGCAAAACAATAACTTTTATAATGTAGGATTGTAGAATGAATAACTTAAATAGTGTAAATTAGTCTACATTAATTACACAATATATATTTTAAATAACGAAAAATCACAGATATTGTATTTACTCGAAATTTGATAACAGGTAAATTATTCTTTCTGATATTAAAACTAACGAACTTTAACTACTGAACCAGAACGTAAAATTGATATTATCCTACCCGCTGGTGAGACGTAGACAAAAATTTCAGCTGGTGTGGCTTCCTCGTAGAATACAATTATGAAATCAGTAACAAACAAACATTTTAGATTCCTTTATTCTGTGTACCATAACAAGGTGTTCAGGGTTATTCAAACAAGAGTATAGCCCATCTCTAATAAGAAATTAAGCATATTATAATAATGGACCGCAAAACTTCAATTATAATATATTGTTTCCTGAATCCTGGTTCAATGAATCCTCAATCTCCTCGGGCCATCCGTTCATCGTAATAAAATTAAATGATCGTAAAATATGTAATATTGTTATATTATGCCTATATAGTGAATAACGACAATAATATTATATTATGACGTGTGTTACTTTGCATGACCTTTCGAAGAAAACAAGTTTCAGTCGATTTCTGGTGGAATGGATTTATCACGTTCGGACCCACGTTCGCATGCGAACACTGTAACTGCTCACAAATTATTTTATAAAATATCACCGTATAACTCCGTATAATAAAAGGTTTTTTTTTGACACCATATACCTCCACAAGACATTTTATTTTGTTTTGTACCTTCGTGTTTTTCAATGTATTATTTAAAGCTACTACATAAATTAAAATAATAATTGAAACTTCAAAATTAATGATAATGATAATTTCTGGCTACAATCATTTGTTTAAATACGCAGACATGTTCACAGCACTGAACTGAAAACATAAACTGATGCAAAAATGCATATGATTATATTATTTCGTGATTTTACTATTTTGCTTTCGTTTACAGGTGTTGATTGTGCTGTGCGTCGTCCTGTGCCACCTGATGATCGCGTCAGCTCAATTCGAATTCAGTGACTTCCTGTCCAATGTCGAACAACAGTCCGGCAACCGAGACCCTAGAGAAAACCGAGGTGAGTTTAAAAGAAAATAATAAGGTGTAAGAGATGAATCTTTCTAAATCATTTTTTTTATTTTATCCCATTTTCTCTTCTCCCGGGAAAAAACAACAGGTCCAGTTCTGTTCCCTGCCACACAACCCGGTTCCGAGACCAGCGGCGTGGTAGTAGGAGCTTCGGGATTCGGATTCGTACCCCCCGGCGGTAACAACAAACGTAAGTGTTTTTAATAATATTAATTATTGGTATACAGCTATTGGTATACACTCACTATGAGTGGCTGGTTGTGTCGTGTTGACGTTTTGATATTAATCGCCGTTTAATAGAACAATAATAATTATTGGCCAAATTTACTAGAAAAGGCGTCCATCGTCTGCAGGAAACCCGACTATATGAGCGCGCACACATTATCATAATACACATATGTGTTAGGTACGTATAGCAAATTTGCGATGACGCAATAATTACGTACGTCGTCACCTCGAATAGTTGAGCAATTTTTTTCCTACCTACCATTATCGTTGTGAAAACCCACGCGTTTTCGAATCAAAAGACTTTCTCGAGTTTTCCGACCGTAATATACTATATTATCTCGCTGTACCGTTATTGTAATATATCGATCAAAATAGACCGCGGGTCGTGTGTATGGGCATACGATAGTCACATATTGGGCGAATAGATTTTGCAGGGTCGGATTTCGTCCAAGCCTCAAGGTCCAAAGATTGCGCGTCTTTAAGTCCGAGAGACCGCGATGGGTCTGTAATTAAATCGGTTCGTCCTTATTCGACGGGTGCGTAGTGACAGTCGTCACAAGTTCACAACCTCTGCAATTGCTTTCGAAAAGTTGGCCGCCGGAAAACTCGGCACGCATTCTCCGAATATATGTCGAATAGCTGACCCGCAAGTGCATATATATTGCCGATACGTCGCGCCCAATTATGTGTTATATAATATATACTCCGGCGATGTTGTTTTCAACGGTTTTTGGGTCACAAACGGTCATCGCCGACATTTATGGTTATTACTATATACATATTATGTAGAATATACGGTCTGCTGTGGCCCATATAAATATATAAATCGCCTATATATTAGTGCCGAACGACTGGCGAGAGGATTATTAGTGTTCGCAAATTGTTCGGATAGTTTCCACAGCAGCACTACGCGGCATATTACTCGGGTAATATAATAATATATACATATATATATATATGGTAGACTTTACGATGACTGTTTTGCGCTCTATTGACTCCACCGGGGATGATGGGGTCTGTGGTAATTATATATTATATGCGTAAGGGACGCGGGCAGGAATGTTGCAGCGGCACACAGAAAGCTTTCGGTAGCCGCCGGTGTTTAAGGGCGCTCGGAGGTATCGTCGTGGGGGTGGGGTACGGGCCCGTGACGAGAGGTTAATTTGGATGAGAGAACCGAACTCAAAGGGCGCGATCGCAGCAATAATACGTCCGACCGCAGAAACTGCTGCCGCCGAGTGTACGGCATATATTATACATATATATACAGTGGCAGCCGATATAAGTCGTATTTTGCGGATGTTATTGAATGTGTATAAGGCCAACGGTTTCGGACCGGGCGCGAGCGGATCCTGCGTCCGCCCTTTGCCGGAAACAACCCCTTTGTGGAACGCTCGGGCGGGCAGCGGGAGACACGATAGACGCGCGCTAATGAAGACGGCCGACTCGGTGAGATGTTGCAGCACCGACGTTACATATTATTATTATTACGAGTAATATAGGACGAGAGGAGCCAGTTCGGGCCGGATATTAATGTTCGGGTTACGAATTCTGCCGGGACACTTCAAAGCCGAATATTATCATTAATATTATTATTATACGTTGTGAAACTGTACTCGCGAGTTTCTGCGGCCGAATAATAATATCTATAATGATTACGAAGCGATACTATATTATAATATTATGATAATAATATAACGATTTTTCACTCGGCCACCCCCGCGTAACGATAATATATTATAGCTGTAGTACTTGAACAAACTATAGGTGTGCAAAAGGTCGAGTTTTAGTTATTTTGTTGATACCTGTCATGCCTATATTATCGTCGATCTTCTCGATCCGTAGAGACTTTAGCCCCCAACCGACGATATATTAATATAATATAAATATTATATTATGTTTAATATAAAACGGTATAAACCACACTACAACGTTTGTGTATTGTATATTTGCAGAACCACAAGGCCAAAACATCTTCAGCTTCTGGTGATGATGACGAGATCCGATAACGAAACACAATGCAAGTCGATTGAATTTCCTAAGCGTTTCGCCCGGCAACGGATAGCAAATATATACTTGTCAATGCGAGATCTCCTCTACAATATAATAATATTAATAACACAAATTAAGAATAATAATAATTATATACTATACGCACTACATTATACATTATATCTGTACACACATCGATGTAAAACGACAAATTCATAAATAATACAATATAGGTATACAAATATAAGGTATAATATTATATCGGTATACGTATATACACGAGCGGCAATAATATCGTGCGCACGATTTTATATACATCAAAATATATGCACGCCTCGTAAACGTATTATCTGAATTTGTACAGGTATATAACATTAAACATTATATGGGTATACTCTAGGAGTTTTCTTAATTTATTTTATTACTATTGTACATAATTTACAAGTCTCTATTATGTCTAATAATTTATTTCAAATCGTATATATTATACATATTACATATTATTACAGCCGTCTTAGGTTAGTTACCAATTATTATTAAACATATTATATTATATTACTATATATTTATATATAGATTTATCATATTATTATTGTATATTCTATATAGATATTGTAATTTTAAATGTAAAACAATAGGTATGTATTTGTGGTTACCGTGTTTACGCGTATCCGACTACATAGTATACCTATACTTATAAATATTGTACAATTTTGTTGTATGCATACAACAACAAAAAAATCGTAAAACAACGAAACATGATTTTATTGCAATAAAGTTACTACTATATATTATTATGACCTTGTTGAAAAACGTGTGAATTTATTCAAATCGTCTACTTTCCTACCCAGTATCATTAATTACCACTATATAGGTAGTTTCCTTTATACTATATTATAATGATGCTACATGGAAATAATATGGCATATTATATTATATTATATAAAGAGACGACATCCTATAATGTTTAGCCATTACATGGGTGTACTATTACATATCATATAGCGGTACTGCAGACGCTTTGGTGATAGGTCGTCGCTGTTATCAACGTGTTGATTCAACACTTTGACGATCGATAAAGTTATTAAAACTCACAAAGGAAAATAGACAAAATTACATAATCGAAAAAAATACAATGGTCTTTATTTTTTTGGACGATTTTAGTTTTTTAAAATCTTAGTCTACGATAAACCCGCTGTTGGTATGAACCTATGAACGAACAATGCTCATTTATGCGTATCATCTATAATACATTATAAAAGTCCCACTTCAACTTATCTCCAATTCGCTTCCAATTTTTATATTTACTTCCACGGCATATCCTATAACCGAGTTGTATTCTAGTTTTAACTATACGCGTAAATTAAAATTGCTGCAGCAGCAGTGCGCTGTTGTAGACCACAAAGAATAATAATATTACAAAAATCGCATAAATAATTCAACTCGTATAGCCACTCGGTATACTCGATTACGTGCGCACACGCAGCCAACGGTAATCGAATTCAGTTTTGACATGAGAAAACAAGTAAAAAAAAAAAAAAAAACCCGGAACCAGCAGAAAAATAATAAATCGTTATCATAATACCTACAATATAATATGTATGGAGACGTACAACAGCCCATTACAAGACATCGTACCTATTACTATTATACAACACGGCGAAACAACAGCAAAAATGTGATTTCCGACGTTTTCCGTCGTGCCGTCATCAGCATGACAGCAACAGTGGATCATGGAGTTGATCAACTTTTTCATGGGAAGAGAGGATCGGTGTACAAAAAACCTGATTTATGCTGTAGGTACAAAAAAATGACGTTTTAAGGTAGGCAGTAAAAGGTGATTAGCAGTATGCAAAAAAATAATTTAAAACGAAACTCGAGTTCCCCAAATTCAAAGGCCTCTATGTTAATGCAAGTTACATATAAGTTATATAAATTACACATATTATGATATATTTATATATGGACTGATGTGTTATAACAAACAATATACACTGTATATACTTATAAATAATAAAAAGTATTGAATATATATATATATATATATATTTAATAAACATTAATGCCATAAATACTATCGCTGTGACCTGTCATGTTTGGCGAATCTCTTTGAACTATCATAATAATAGCTATTTAACTATTGCAACTATCGTGTTTGATTATCATCGTGTGTAAAGGTGTCTTTGTAAAATTCGTATGTCAGACCTATTCCCAATAAAAATTCCGTACAAGTTGAATTCATCAATATTCATAGTTTCGTTATTATTGTTATTACAATATTTAGTAGTTACTGCCATAACTCTTCAATTCTAAGAAAATACCTGTATACTTAGTTTAAAAATACATTTATTTAAACATGTTAGGAAAGCTTTCTGCGAGCATTTTAGCTATATTTTAATACAACGCAATAAACCATAATTGCATATGCAATTTAAAAATAATTTGGTAACCTATATATCATTAATATGTAACTGGACAGTAAATAAATATCATAATATCATTATATCAACAATCGTAACTATTAACTATAGTAATAATGAACGGACGGACGGACACAAGGGGGATAAAATATAAGGTGATCTAAACTTATGATTAGATACCTAAAACTGTATCATAATTAAATCGATTTTTCTCTTCAGACCATGGGGGTCATTGGGGGATGTATGATCGTCCAATGGCCAATATTATTAACCATATATATATAACCTAGGTATAATTTTTTGGACACGATAATATTATCGTATGATGGGTCAATGGATGATATCATGAAATACAATAACCACCAATGATATATGCTTATAGTGTTGATTAACGCCCAAATCGTAACGATTTTTGAAAGCTATAATTTCTTACATTGTCTCACAGAGATTTATATTCACACAGAATGATGAGAACCCAAGCTTTGAATAGATAGGTTTAATAATTAATAATATGCTACGCGCCGTCCTCGAAAAACATCGTTCATAATCGTACTTACGAGTTAAAAATTTATGTGATTTTGGTAGTTTTTTTAAATATTAGACAACACTCGAAATACGCGAAGGACAACTACTGTGGGTTCTTTGAAGCGTTTTCGGTGTCTATACCTATTATACCTATAATGATGGTATAGGTAATACAAACATACGCTACCTGTAAAAAAATTTGTGTTCACTAAAAATATCTTCGAAAAAATCTCGAAAACGCCTAATCTCTCAGATTGCTTCGATCATCATGGCACATTTTAACACTTCGACCTATCGTTTTACATTTAGAAATCTATAAATATTTTAAGAAAGATCAAGCATTACACGAGATAAGATATAATATACAGTTATATTATATTGTAATGACAGGTTAATTAAATCAAAAAGGTTTTTTTTTATTTTTCATAATACAATTTATAATCTGTTACAATTTAGAACAATAAGTAAAAAAAAAAAATTGACGATTTAATGGTCTGAAAAAAAACGAATTTAAGAAGCCTTCCGGCTTCCATTGAGGGAACTTAGTTATATATATATACGTTTACAATGATATTTATAATTAATAATATATATTTTTTTATCATAATTTTTTTATCAAGCAATCTGTTACAATAGTAGACAAATAATCTTAATCGATATTAATATTAATAAACACAGGAAACACAAAGTGAAGAGACCTCCCAGTAGAAATATACTTCGTCAATAGATAGATATAGTTAAGTGCACTTGCACTTGAATTAAAATTTTTACATAATTTTACATAATATCTACCGGTAATTATTTGTATACTCATGTGAGCAGGTCACAATAAGTGGATCGGGATGACGATATAATCTATAATGTTAAAATGTAATATAGTTTAATTATTAACAACAAAATTAACTTAACAGTTAACATTATTATGAGATATTTTTTCGTCGATGAGTCGATGAGTTAATGCAATATATTTACATACACAATACATTAATATAATTTATTATATTGATTACCTATTGTGTATGTACAGTCGAACAGACGCACGAATAGAACTATTCCCTCGTCTTTTCGAACCGAAGATAGTGACATTATTGACACTTAATTCGATCTGGTCATTAACGAGGACCACTACGCAGTCTCCACCGACTATATTTTGTTGTGTGCACCGTGACCGACCTTTGAAACCCGGTATTTTCCTATACATATAGTCACAGGTCTAAATGCAGGTCATCTGTACATAGTACAGTCGTATTAGATGACCTGCAGCGTTTGACCGCAGCGCTAACCCAATTGAGCTGGACAATACTCTCTCCTGCAATACAGTATATAGACAGTTTGCAATATTCTCCGTAATATTAATAAGCATAAAATGCATAGTAGTAGGTACCATCAATCGATAGTAGCCCTGCAGTCCTTAAATTGTGCATATTATACATTACCATAATATGTATACATATTATGTATTGCAGGCAGAGTTCACAGGATAAGTAATTGAGCCGAGCTTGTTTCTATGATGTATAGTGAGTCATAGATATCGTTTAATTCAACAGAACAATTAGTGAGGTACTATATTATAATATGATAATTTATATACCTACGGCGGCCTGGTACTTATATATTATTCACTAGCTGCAGTAGTAATTCCATAATATTATGGACGTTACCTATTACTTATGCAGGTCAGCCTTCGAAACGTTCAAGTGCAATATAATCATGTTAGATAATATTATATACCTGCGGTGCTCACAAAATGGTTCGCCCAAATGGCTAACCGTGGACGAACTTTATCTGGCCTGCAGACACCAAATTTATTTTTTAAATAATAATTTTAATGACGAACTAAATTAAGTTTTAATTAATTTTTTTAATTTACATGTTTACTATTTTTAGATAAAAGTAGCCATCCAAAAATATTAACTGGTAATCCCGCGGGTATCGGGGTATGTACCAAACAAGTTGGCTGTATAGTTACGTCTAGGGGGAGTTTTGATTTTATTAATATAATAATATTATATTACGCATCATTGATTACGCGTCTAACCGTTACACCAAGAAG